TATCATAAATATTGACAATGTATTATTATAAGTTCTTATTGTCATAAGAATTATGATTACCTTTATGAATTAGATAATTCGATATTTATCTAATAGTCAGTTGTCTAGCTCAGATTGTACTGTKATGTGCTCTCGTTCAATAAATGTGATTTATATATTATATAGGTCTAAGTTGTGTTGTGTTTAAATTATTTATCATCAAAGCTTTATTTTATTCTAAGTCAAAGAGGATGTTAAAAAAAATCTAATGATTCGGATTGTAAACTATTCATAGTATTATCTTGGAAACTTTTTTTTTAACACAAGCTAAGTACATTAAAATAATTTTCAAAACTCCAAATTAGTAAAAGAAGACATGCTGAAACTTTGTATACTTGATTTATTTTTATGAACTTATTTAGTATCCATGTTCTTAACAATTATATCCATCATAGTATTAGCTACCCTATATGGCTATATTATAATGTAACAGTMAATTTTATAAATGTATCAAAATTGTTTCAACGATTTTAAAGTGAATTTATAACATTTTAGCTGTATTTATAAAATAATAATTAAGTGGCTTACACTTAATATAAGAGCCGAGTGGAATAATAATTCCCGATTTCTGATATTGACAATGGTAATGGCAGCACTCTACAACTTGTTACATTGACACTGATCTTACAAAGCTCTAAGGTTACARTAAGATAAGTCTTTACTATTGGTAAATTATTTGAGGGATAGTAATCATCTCACGAATACCATAAGAAATTTACCCTCAACCATCACATAAATTTACAAATTATATGTATCCTTGTTCAATGTTCACACTTTGATTTATCTTGTCATTTATACCTAATAARTTATTATTTATTACCAATCGACATCATTCTAATAGCTAATAATATATAGTACAACATATATGATTAATATTTAAGTTAAAGGTAATAGATTTTGAAAATCGCAATATAACTAATAACAATTAACAAAATAATATTGAATATYGCAGATCAAAAAACACACAAAAGATTCGAAAAATGTTGGTTTAATATTTATAAATTATAATTATGTATGATGTAAATTACAATTATTACTTAWTCGTCTCATTATCTTCCTGTTCTTTGTAATGTCTATACTCAGGTTTTAACTCCCACATATTCTTATGAGGATGTTTKAGATTATAATTACAAACCTCTTTTAGGATTTCTTTTAAATATACTACTGGTTGTTTAGTTAATGTAACCAAATCTTTAATGTTATAGTATTGATGTTTCTCAAATGCCTTAAACAACATAGCCATGACAGCATCTTTATCATCACGTGCCTTTTTACCTTCAGACTTCTTCTTTTCATTATATTCAATATTATGTTTATGATCAGATATGGGCTTGAAGTTTTGTACAACTTTGTCTAACTTTTGAACTTGTCGAGTTGGAATATGTGCTTTCCGTATAGCTTGTTTTTTTAAGTCCATATAAACCTGAATAAAATCATCAAGGTATCATAATCGCAAAAACATGGAATAATGATTATTATACAAATTACCTGATCTCCAATTGGCCGACACTCTAGTTTCTGACTAATTTTTCCAAGAATGGCTAATTTATCAGTTTCTTGAACAACTGCATCAGGATTATAAGACATTCTTTGTTCAGATAATGCAACCATTGTTTGGCTAGTAAAGTGTGACACATCTAATTTGAATGATTTAGGTATTGGTTCGTTTTTTTCACCCTCTAAGCACAAGACAGCTTCAGACAGATGAAGTGAAATATCTGGTCTTTTTCCTGGTGTATTTGTTACCTTAATTTTACCTACATCTAAGCTGCCAGGGGCATTGTCCCACTTATCTGCTACAAATTTCGGTACTTTAACAAGCCACAAAGCATTTCCAGCTTTTGAAACATCCAAAGATCCACCACTCATCTAAACAATAATAATAATAACAAAAATTATAATGGTTAAATTATAAAGAGCTTTTYGTCAGATATTTCATACTGCATGCTGTTATTACCTTTAGTTATAATCAAGCCGTGGTTATAATACTATTAAAATGTTTTAATTTTAAAAATTACAAAATATATTTTACAATAACTTATTAGTTTAGATAATATGATAAATTTAAAGTGGATGTTGAAATTGTAATTTAATTTGTTTAAGTATAGTTTACAACTTAACAAATCGAGATCATGAAAAAAATTCAAAATTGTTGCAAACACCTAACTACCTAGTGTCAAATCTCAAAAGTACTAAACACTAATAAATAATGAACTAAAATGTCCTAACTCGGCATTAGTAGAACAATATTAATAATTAAAAAATTATAGCAAATTGTAATAATATTAATTATTATTAAKTATTAAGTTCAAGTAAATAATTAATGTCGATACTCGATATTTGTTATCAATATTATTGTTTATCATTTTTCGGCATCTGACATTTTCAGCGACCGGGACCAGAGATACTAAAAAATGGAGATAAGTAYAAGGCATAGAGTAAGAATATAGGTATATAAGGTCTATTATCATGGAATATGCGTTTAGAACATAGACATAATAATATTATTATGTCTATGGTTTAGAATGTTTAGATCATATTCATATAATAGTATAATATACAATGGATATTGGATAGATCATTAGACAGCACTGGCCGCTGAGCTACAAGCCTACAACTGCTTTAGAAACGTGTACTACGGGTTGAAGACACGGATTAATATATTATATTAATTAATAATTCGTGGTTGAAGACAACATTATGAAGATGACTGATATCTATTGCGCATGCGTAAATGCGTAATCATTTTAATACTAAATAAAAATATGTATTATGTGATTTTACGTGTTTACTATGTACACGAATTCAAAATTTTGTCCACAGTTAATATTTAATAATTAATTTTCATATTTGATATTTCATAATAGGTACATAACAGCTAAATTTGTAGGTCGTAGGTAGTAGGTACCTATTTCATCTATGCCGTGGAAATAATAATGCCATTTAATAGGTACTCAGTTTTATACTAATATAACTCAATGTTTAATGTTTATTGAAAAATTGTATAAATTAAACATTTAAAAAAATAGTTATTTATAAATAGTAATTAGATTAAATTTTAATTTATTTACTTTATAATAAATATATAAATATTTAATTTGAAGTTAAACGTTATTTCCTAGAATAGTTGACTTCGGCTACACTCAAGAAAACAAATAAATTTAGTATGATTCTTAAATTTAACACATGGTCTACGATATCGGATTCGTATWTTTTACTTCATTGCATTGAAACTTGAAAGTTATATATATTTAGTAATATAATAAAAAGAGTTCACAAGAGATTTTGAGATTTTGAAATTATGTCACAAATAGTTAATGATGGATTTGATCATTAATCATTACTTAATAATGAAAAAAAAATTTAATACCTTGGTACATCAATATGGTTAAAAAATCGGTAAGTACATCTTTCCAATATATAATTATGCAAATGTTATCTTTCACATCATTATTATTATTGAACCCTTTGAGTCCCACTGAGTCATTAAAATTGTTGCATTTTTGTAGTGTTTAATTATTTAAATATTTAACATTTCAGTAGCACCTGTTTCAAGTCAAATTTAGTTGATTAATTGTACTATCTCCATRTACATACATATTTTAATATTGCTGTTATTTGTTAAGGTATTGTAATGAATGTCACGATAATAATATTAAAATAACTAATAATTTAATGTTATTCATAAGATTTTTAATGATTTATTCACTATTTTTTTTTTTATTATTTAAAGGTTTACAGGCTTCAACTGCTATGGTTATTAGCCAACATTTACAAAAAAAAAAAAAAAAACAAAATCTGGTTAAAATAGGTTATTTCAGTAAATTTACAATTAAGTATGGGCTTAATCTATATTTTATTGATAAGATATTCGTTGGTGATGAATTGGATGATTTTTAGAGTAGATTCTTCATTGAGGGCTTCTTTGATGTTGAATGGGAGGTTGAGAAGTGTGCGAGTTTACTCGTGTATTTGGTATTCTTCAAAAATATGTCTTATGGTGATGCGAGTTTGGCATGTGTTGCATATTGGGGGTTGGTCTTTACTGATAAGAAAAAAATGTGTAAGAAAGGTGTGGCCGATTCTAATGCGAGTGATGGCAATATTTTGACGTCGGTTGGGGTTCGGGGGAGTATACCATTGTTTAGTTGAACTTTTAATGTATTTTAGTTTGTTGGTTGGGGGGATGGAGTCCCAAAGATATTGCCATGACTTGTGGGTTTTATGTCTAATTGATGTGAATATGTCGTTGGAAGATATTTTATCAATGGTGATATCGTGTACATTTTAACTAGCTAAGGAGGCTGCTTCGTCGGCCATTTCGTTTCCTTTTATGCCTACATGGGAAGGTACCCACATGAAGTCGATATTTTTTAGGGTGTTTATTAGTTCCGATTGAGTTGTTTGGATGATTTCATTTTTTGGCCATGGGTTTTTTAGAGCTGTTAGGACGCTGGGGGTGTCACTAATAATCAAAAAGTTATTAGTTGGAAGAGAGTTTGATAATTTGATTGATTCAAGAATTGCAAAGTTTTCAGCGGTAAATATGTTTGTAATTGCCAGGAGATTGTGTTGTATGATTGTTTGATTGTGCACAATTGAGACTATTTACTATTTATTGGCCAACATTTAGGAAGTGAATAATGAATGGCTTTTCCTTTCTTCCTCTCATATAACATAATATGGACTGATGAAAGCCGTTTTGATAACAACGGAATTGTGAATCGTCATAATTCCCCTTTCAGGAATGAAATAAACCAAACTTGAACACGGGAAACAAATGCCCAAGTTCGTTGGTCTGTAAATGTATGGCGTGTTATATTGAATAACACATTGTTTGGTCCATATTTTTATGATGGAACGTTAATTTAGAGTTTATACAAAATATATTGCCATTCTTGATGGACTGTATCTCTCTTCAGATAAAGACACATATGTGGTTACAACAAAATGGAGCTCCTTCTCATAATGCTAATATGATAAAATATTACTTGAACCAACATTGTCCTCAAAGATGATTAGGTACCCATGGTCCACTGGAATGACCTCCACGATCGCCTGATTTAACTCCTTTAGATTTTTTTTTATGGGGTTACTTAATAAAGAACACCGTACATGCAGAACAGTCTACTTCGCTAGATGATTTAAAAGAGCGTATCACTAAAACATGTAAAACAGTCACATCAGAAATGTTAAAGTCAGTTAGATCATCGATATTACGGCAATATGTAACATGTGTAGAAAACTATTGTGGGCATTTTGAAAATTATTTCCAATGCGTTTTTATTTTTATAAAAACAATGGTTAAGTATATTATGTAAATATCTAAACCTGTTGATGATTAAAAATTAATTTAATTTATGTAAGTATCTATTAACTCAATAGTAAATAAACAACTTACCATCAGTACCTACTTATCTAATTTAATCAAACAACGTTAAAATAAATAAGCTATTAGGTACATACAAAACATAATCTATGTGTAAATAGTTATAGTTTGATAACACTGTTTTAATAAACTTAAAATATGAGTTTCAAGTGTTTGATAGGTATATAAAAGATATGAATACAGACTAATTAATAGTCATTGTTTTAACTTTAAATTTATTCAAATGTTCATTGTTTAGTATTTTCTTTCTACTGTTAAAAACAACATAAATCTGAACGATGTTAATGTTTACCAACTTTTGGATAGACTTTATCTTACTTTTCACTGTATTATTCTCAGTTTTTTATTACTATTGTATTTCGACATTCAATATATGGAAAAAAAAGAATGTGCCTTACGTCCGTCCAATTCCTTTATTTGGCAACTACTTGAACGTAGCACTGGGCATAGAGAATCCAATGCAAACGTACAAGAAAATTTATCATGAACTGGCTGGATTCAAGTATGGAGGTATGTTTCAGATGCGAACACCGTATTTAATGATCCGCGATCCTGAACTCATTAACAATGTAATGATAAAGGACTTTTCRTATTTTACCGATCGTGGGATTTACTTGGATGTCTCAAATGAACCTCTGTCAGAAGTACTGTTTTTAATGGAAAATCCTCGATGGAAAACACTTAGAAATAAATTGAGCCCCTCATTAACATCGGGAAAACTTAAACAGATGTATAGTCAAATTGAAGAGTGTGGTAAAGAGTTGATACTTAATATTTTTGCTCAGTTAAAGAAAAATCCCAACGGAATTGATATACGAGATATTTTGGCAGATTATTCAATTGATGTTATCGCTACTTGTGCTTTTGGGCTGAAGTTAAATGTAGCAAAAGATGATACTTCTTCATTTCGCAGTTATGGAAAAACCACATTCGGGCCAAATATATTTTATTTCTTAAGAGAAATATTACTGATGATTTCACCAGCTATTCTGAAAATTGTAAGACTTCCTTTCTTCCCAAAAAGTGCAACTTCATTTTTCGGATCAGTATTTAAAGAAACAATGATGTACAGAAAAAACAATAATATAGTGAGGCAAGATATTGTTCATGCTTTAATGCAAACACATCAAGACTTGGTTGTCAATAGCAATTTACCAAAAGATGGTAAACATTGTTGTTTGAAGTTTGAAATAACATACTTAACTAATTATAGCATTTAACCATAGCTATTGTAAAATTTATTTTTTGTAGAAAGATTAACGGAAACTCAAATTTTTTCAAATGCGTTTGGTTTTTTTGTTGCTGGGTTTGAAACTACATCCTCTACTCTTTCTTATTGTTTGTATGAGCTTGCGCTGAAAAAAAACATTCAAGATCGAGTACGCGAAGAGATAAATTTGACAAAATCTAAACACAATGGAGTAATTAATCACGATTTTTTAAATGATCTTAATTATTTGGATATGGTTATAGCAGGTAATTCATAATTGCTTACATATTTTAAACGCATTGTTTATAATTTGACATGGGTAGTGTAAAAATAACCATAAGATGCTGACAATTTTTTTTGTTACCTTTAGTATGGATAGGCTTTGAATTTCACCATTTTATAACTGGTAAGGTAATTAATGAAGGTTAATAGTAAGAAACTGTACGAGTTACTGAGATTGGGTATTGGGTGTATCATTCCATAGTTGAACATATAAGATAATTTTATATCATACTAGCTGAACCCGTGCACTTCGTAGCCCGTTAAAAATCCTACCTCTTTTATAATATATTAAACTGTGTGTTAATTGCTGACCCGACAGACGTTGTCTTGTCTTAATTATAAATATTGAATTCGAATTTTTATAATCAATGAAAAAAATATTACAAAAAAGGTGTTTATTTATTTTAATGCATAATGATATACAACATTTTTTSTTTTTTTTTTTTATATGTATTTGTATATAAGCGTATATCAGTACGTATATTCGTACTGCCGCAATCGATAAATAAAAGACCTAAACTTTTGTATAAAATAAACTTAAAACAAACAAAAGGAATCCATAATTAATCAAAAAAAATGCTCGATATGAATGAAGTTTTATTATTATTTTCGATTAATTACGCACGATGCTGCTTTTTAACAAAACAGATTTTCCTGAAATACTGGTTATTTATAAGGTTTCGTTTTGATAATGACAGACACACATAGTTATGATACAGTCTGTTATTCAATTTAAAACTTTCTGATAAACTATATTTTTTTGTTTTGTTTTGTGGTGCATAAATAAATAAAGATGGCGGTTTTCCGACGTGCGAACACTCCACGTATAATATGTCCATGTGTGAAACAGGGAAACTCCAAGTTAATTCCACTAACTTCAAACGACTAGACTTGCGATTTTTTTATCGTCATCGCAAAGGCCAGATGTACTGGAAATTGTAAACTTTAAAATCGAATTGTAAATCCGTTGAAATCATCGGTTATGCGGGATCAATATACATACTCTTCTTTGTATTTTCCTTTTATGACTGTTGCCTTAATGAAATTATTCATCACTTTATTCACATCTACTCTTGTCTTATTGCATAGTCTAGGTTAATTAATATTACGCAGCATGATGACAACTGATCTTATTTTTAGCATTAAGCTGCAAATTGTGAGGTGGTAATCCAGGTTTAGAATTTCCAGTAAATTTAAAAACTCCGCGGGATTATAGTTGACTACATCATCCTGGTTCGTATAATGTTGTTGACTGATTTGAAGGTAACCAACTGTCCCGGAAGAAAATTCTGAATAATCACATTGAGACCCTCGATATCTTTATTTTTCACCTCCAATATTGCTCGTTCACTCGGCCAATTATAGTTATTGAACTGTGGCGCTATATCTGGGAAAACACGCTGAATAAGCTCATCTATTGAGTCTATGATGTGACAGAAATCTGTGGGTATTCTGATTAAACCGGTCGAGGTGTCCACTGTGACTTAATTATTTCCAATGTCTAACAACTTCTTCGCAAACACATTTGCAGTTTCATCTTGTCGCAAAAAAACTCGCATATTAGCTGTTAATTGTAGCGTCTTTAAGTACCGCCACAAATGCGATGGTTTTAGGCATTTGTTTAATTCATCATCAACAGTTGATTGGGGAATAACTAGAAGAGTCTGACGAATTCACCGACAGCAAAATCATGGCCCCACCAAAAATATTTTGGTTGTTACGAAGATCTTACAAAGTTCAGTCCAGTGTCTCCATTGACCTCTTATGAGCCATTGTGCATTCATCCCAAACAATCAATTTGCATACCTGTAGGATCTTGGCCATTGCGCTATTTTTGGCGATTTTGAAAATTAGTGTTTCGTTGATTTAAAAAAATATAATTGAAGTTTTACACGCTTACTCGTACCTATTATAATTGTGAATTAGTGCAAGAAAGTAAAATTTTACTTTTTGGTCAAGTTGAAATCAGTTTATATAAGGACACTGTACTTATGAGTTTCATTTAAACCTTTTCAAGTTTAATATTGATGTTAAATTACCATAAAAATACTTAAAATTAATAAATGCTTTCAGAAACACTCAGAAAACATCCTTTACTGTTTGCTCTGTTYAGAGTAGCTACAAAAACCTATCATGTGCCAAACGATTCATTAATAATTGAGAAGGGACAGAAACTTATTATTCCCATTTTTTCACTGCATTTTGATCCTAAATATTATAGTGATCCCGAACAATTCAACCCGGAAAGATTTACCACCGAAGAAAAGGCAAAACGGCCTAACGGCGTTTATCTTCCATTTGGCGATGGACCTAGGATTTGTATTGGTATGTATATGCAGTAATTTATTGTTAGGGGAGGCTTAGATCATATGTATATGATCTAAGGGGGGAGGGGAGATATACGGATGTAGGTACTGCTTATATTGGTAAAATGACGCACATAAGGTAGGTGATAATAATAAAATGACAAAAATATAATATTCTATTACTATGTGTAATTTTTACTTTTCAAATCTCAGATGGTATAGACATTACATGATTATCAATATATATTTTGAGAACCAATCACTTTTTGTCAACCTTATATCGTTTATGGGAGATAATATATTGAATTTTATTAGTACTCAGTAGAAAACTAGAAAACATAAGCGCCAAAACGAAATCAGAAAAAAATGTATTGTATCGTACAAAAATACCAAAATCCCAGATACCTATGTATTTAATTCCAGATATTATATTTAGAATTAGGTATATAATATAGAATGGCCAAATGAATAAATAATAATCTTGATTGAAAAATGTTTCATTATTTATCTGATTACGAAGTATCGTCAGAGTTTTTGTGTTATGTTTTTCATCGGGTTTTCATGATTCTTATTTGGAAAAATACCTACCTGCTACAGTTAAAAATATTCACAAAATTGAAAATACTGTCTTCAAATGTTCCTCCTTGTAGATGATAGTCATAGAATAAAAGCTTTATTGTCGAGTGACTAATAATTTATACATTTGTTGATTTTTTTTTTTTATATATTTAGGAAAACGTTTTGCTGAAATGGAAATGAAATTAGCTTTAGTTGAAATTTTATCCAAATTCGAAGTGGAACCGTGTGAAAAAACCGAAATACCTATAGCACTCTCCAAATTATCTGTGGTAGCGATTCCTCATGATGAAAAACTTTGGTTAAAACTAATTCCGCTCAATGAATAATCATTTAATTATTATTTATTAATTATTAGATGTATAATGTGGTGAATTGATTAAAGTAATTTAAATATTAAATTATTAATAATAATTGTTATGTAAACAAGTCTAAATTAAATTCTTACATTGAATGTAATTAAATTTCAACTCTATGAATTGACTACAAAATACAAAATACTATCAGTCATTTATAATATTATTATTATCAGCACCTTTATACCTATAATATATTAAAATAAAATATTTTCATGGTAAACATGAATAAAAATCACAGGGTAATTATTAATCATGACGCTGTAAACGAATGTTAGATGATGCTGTATAGGTACATAACATATGAATTAAGAATAATAATATACCTACCTACCTTACACATACGCGAAACTCACAAATAAACTCCTCTTCTCCACACCTTTTCGATTTTCGATCGAACGTTATGCAAAATGAAACAAACGCTCTGCTGTTGGTATTTACTCTATTTAATCTATTCTGTGATTATGTAATATATTACCTCGTACATATGATTACATAACACGACTGTTATCAGAATCCGCCACGACCAAAAATATATAAAAAAGTTTCGGGATATCKCATCATTTTTTTTWAAAACTCTGCAGTCCCTAAAATTGTGTGTAGTACGAAAAATTCAATGTGTAGTTAAAAGTGTAAAAGTGTGTTATAATAACCCTTATAATTATATTCTATACAATTTTAATGTAACAATATTAATTCAGGATATCAGAAAGTTCTTCGACCACAAAGAATAAAAAAAAACTATAATTTACATACTTAATATAACTTAATGTAACTTAAATTCATTTTTATTTATTTACTGATATTATGTATTATTATTTTCATGCATTTTGTACACTTAAAATGGTTTATATACAAAAAAATAATTTTTCAACAAAAATTCTATTTCACAAATTTTTTTTTTAAAGAACTTTTAAATTTGTTTATTTGAAGTACTACCTACTTTATTTTAATAAAATTATTTATTGTAAATACATATTATCATTAATATTGATAGATACTATGTAGATTTATATTTGACTGATTTGGGACTATGTGTATAGTACGAAAATTTGGATATTTTAGGGACTGAAACTCTGTACTTATTACAGTACTTGGTAGTTTGGTACAATATTGTACTAAATGCGATTAATAGAATAATATATTTTTATTTGTTCATATTTCATATACCTGCCTATATTCTATAATAGCTGTCAAATAATAATATAATAATATAATATCAATTAACCGTGCCCACCACCCACCATACTTCAGCCGGCGAGAGAACGCCACTCCTTCCGCCTTCACGRATTTAAATGAATGAGCTCAACAGACAACAGTAAGTATCGTCACAGACTATAACATTACGTTATTACAATAATATAGTCTGTGGTTTCGTGCTCAAGCCTCAAATTAAAATAAGTATATTACGTTATTATGCTAAAATGTTTTCCATCACCCACTCTTGAAATACTGAAATCCTTCTATTCACAGCGGCGGTGGCTACCGGCGTAGGTTGGATTGGTTAGTGATGGCAAATGGGAATGCGCGTAAAATATGAACGACGAACGAGTATATGGCATTGTCGATAATATTATAGTGTTATATAGTGCCTTGATTTTATATAGCAAGGAAGGCGTTCTTTAGCCGGCCGGAGCTCGGAGTGTGCCCACTACTCACCGTCTACTCGGCCAGTGCGAGTGTGTTCGTAATTCGTATGGTGTATGACGTGTGACCGACGACGGCGCAAACCACTTTGTCCGCGCCTGATCGTTAACCTTATCGTTATCAGTACGCACTGAAAAGTTGAATACAAACCGCTGACGATGAAAAATCATTACACAAACACAACGAATAACGAATAACGATATACATAACCAACCGTATTAATTATTACACAATACACAATTCTGGATAATATACTACTACAGTGTAGCAGCAGTTGTTTTCTTGTTTTGGTTTTGATTTTTATTCCAACGGTACGTACTTACTATGATATTGTTTGCAGTTTCTTCTGTAAATTTACCTATGAACCGTCTTTAATTAATTCATCAGACCAACTTCAAATACACATTATGTGTCGCATTGCGACCGAAGTTCAAATCTATTCCTTTTCTGTTTTTAAAATCTACTGACGTGCGTATGTTGTACATTTTAAATTTCAGACGGTTTTGAATGTTTTGATGTATTACCAGTTTATTGGAAGTGAGACGTTCGGTTTCAGAGATCCTGAACTATTATGATTTGCGACTGAATTTGGTACCTTATACAATGGATGTCAGCATGCACAGTACTATGGGCAACCGAATGAGAATGTGGCCTAATCGCCAAAGGATCGGTTTACGCATACGATCGGCTTCAGCAGGCAGGGATAAGCGTTCAGGTGGTTTAAATTTTAATGTCATGTTTTATGTTTTATTTACCTGGCCTATTTACTTCTGGAAATTAATAGAATTGCGAAATCGGTCATGGGCATTTTTATTTGATAACTTACGTCGTAATATTGATGAAATATACCAAATATGCGAGTCCGATGAAAATGTTTATGAATGTAAAGTGAGTAATCTTTATAATTATATTTATTTTATATTTCTATTAATATCCATATCCATATTGGTTATTCAAGTTAACATTTTTTTTTTTTTAGGAAGCAATTATGGTCTTACAAAATTATATACATGATTTTCATAGCTTGGTTGAATGGTTTCGATTGAAATGGGAATACGAGCATACTGATCCCCCTCAAAGACCAAATTTTCTTGCTTGGGAAATCCGAGGCGCTTCTCCTAGAAAGGCAAATTCTTAACTACTTTGTTATTTTAATTTTATGTTTTATTATTATTGTTATTACATTTTTCAGATGATCCAAAAGCCTCCTATTACTTCAACAGGATTAACTCGAAGAAAATTGGAATTACTATCTGAATCAATATCTAGTGATAAAAGTGCAATTAATTCTACTCAATTAAATAGTGAAGAGATTATCATAGAAAATATTTCAACTGAAAAGTTATATACTAATCAGTGTTGTCAAACTGACTTTGATCTTATTGCTAAACATACAGACTTAGATACTTCTAAAAAAGTGTTTAAACCTATTACAAAACCAGTTGTTAAGTCTTTGGTTTCAGATTCCAGTCAGAAAAAGCAAATTCCAGTTCTTGTTCCTAAACCCTTAAAAGTATTGAAATCAAAAGTAGATGAAAAAGATAAGACTAAAAAAGATCTGTTAAAAGTGTCATCTACGTCAACTCCTCGATTAACAAAACCTACAAACACAAAGACTATTGAAAATGTAAAATATAATTCAAATACTGTAATCTCTAAAGAAAACAAGCAAAAATGTAATGAGAGTAAAATTATGGTCAATATTAAAGAAGATAAAACAAATGCGCAAACATTTATTAATACTAAAAAAGAATTTGTTGATTATTCAAACAACAGAGATATTACTACCTGTGATCAGAAATCTAATTTAGTTAAATCTAAAAAGAAATCAATTGAGTCTATGACTGCAGTAAATACAGTTGAGAAAACTGAAAAATTAACTCGTTCTAAAACTTCAATTGATATAAAAGTCCCAAAAATGTCAAAACGTGGTATTGTAAAAGGAAATGATGGATGGGAAACTGTTATTAGGTCACGCCGTAGTAATCCATTGACACAAAGTTCAAGTAGTATAAAACTCAAATCACCATTTGATATGAAGAAACGTTTTCAAGTACCATCTTCTGCTAGTTCCATGCCTACCTTAGCTTTAGATTTAGTATCTAGTCCAGATAAACCAGAAGCTATGAGCATTTTACCTGATAAAAATGATCGTCCCATTATTTCTAATGCAGTAGTTTTCCCCAAGAAGAAACGTAAGCTTGATAAACCACCTGCTCCTAAAAATAAAGTAATTGATCAGATGAGAAAAGAGATGTTGAAAGACGAAATCGAAGAACGTAGAATGTGTGATGAAGAATTGATGCGCAATAGACAGTTCTTTGATGAAGAGATGATGCTAGCCAGAGAAATACGGGAGTTAGAAAATGCCGAAAGTAGCTGTAGTGATGATATGACACAATCTGATCGTTATTCAGACCTTTTAGACAACATGATATTAACAGAACGAATGTACACGATAAATGAAATAAAAGCATTGATACAATATGGTAATGAGAGTGCTATTGATTCTATTGCAATGCCTTCATGGGATATAAGCAGATCCACAGAATCCATTAAACAAACATATAGTGCAAGACAAGCTAAAGCTCATCAAAAACGTCAACAACTATTGCAAGACAAATCAACTAAAGTCCGTGAATTGCTAAAAAAGGTAATATTTACATTTTATAATTTATTATATAACTGTATAAAAAAAAAAAATGAAGTGATTTACTCAAAAAATTGTTTCCTTATTTTAGGTTGGGGAGAGAAAAATGCTGCAGAGCCTAATTATTGATGAAAAACGAATTAATATAGATAAAAAGCTTAAACGTGCAGAAGAAAATCGTAAGTTACACTTACAACAAATTCAAAAAAAAGCGCATGATGAAGAAGAAAAACTTCGTGAGATAGCTTTTATTAATGAGTTGGAAGCACAAAATCGACGGCATGATATTCTTACACTCTGGCAAGAACAAGAAGACAGATTGCAAACAATATTAGAAGAACGTAAACGTAACCAAGTGCGAAAGGCTGCTAAAGAAGCAGCAGTTGAAGAACGCTTAAAAGCATTGGAAGCTGAACGTCAAGGACGTATCGAACAAATATTAGAAAGAAGGCGAATAAAAGAAGAACGTATTGGGCGAGAACAACAAGAAAAAGAAAAAGAAAGACTTGAGCTAGCTAGAGAAAAAGCCAAGGAGAGAGAAAATAAATTAACAGCGTTATATGCAGCTCAATCAGCTAGTGCTGAAGAATTACAAAAAAAAATTCAACAAAAACAAAAGGAATCAGCCAAGCGACATGAACAAAATATTGAGCATATTAGGCAACGTGCTCTTGAGTTAGGTGTTCAGAAAAATGAAATTGATATGGACAGATATTGCCCTTCTTGTGAAATCTTGGTATGTA